ACCGTTTTACGGGTAAATAAGTACCTTCCGTGAATTGCCAGAAAATTCAAGTGGGTAGGCATACGAAATGGTTCAGTTTTAGTTTGATTCTTTTGCCTTTTTTTGGAGAATTTGTATTGGTGTATGCTACTTAGAAATTTTCCAGAGAAGAGAAAGACTTGCTTGGTTAATTATATGACGTTTATAATTTACAGTGAATCTAGGTACTCTCGTGTCACAAATACAGAGCTTAGAATCGCAAAAGAATGACGTGACGTGACAAGCTAGTGATGGAGTGGTACTCTCTTGATTTCATTTTATACAACGTTAATTTGGCGTGAAGTCTAAAAATTAAATCAACTTTTGGCACATACTAAAAATTATTACTAGACCTCGTTGTCTTAACATGTTGTGACATATCATAATTATAAAAGTGCATTATTAAAAGTGCGATAAAAAGTTTCAATTAAATTTATTTAAATATGAAATAATAGTATTATGTTTATATCAAGTTAAAAGAAATGACCATAAAAACAATAACAGGAGTACGTACCACTAAAATGTAGACTAGAATGCAGTACCCAACACAATGACACAAATGCGCATTTCTACAATTTTTGGTAAAGGAATATTTCTCAAACAAACAAACATTAGAAGGTCAATTTTATGAGACATTACAAATATTATTTTTGTTATATAATTTTTTTTTATAAAAGATCAACAGAATATAACACAAGAAATTGATAATAAATATAAAAGATCTATGCAAGATCAATTTTTCTTATTTAAATTGTAACGGTTCATATAGGAGATCATTTTATTTGAACCAAATGTGGGCTGTTACTGGGGGTGATTCGGTGCGGCTAGTTATTTTATAAAATTTGTACCATATCAATTTTCGGTATTTTATTATGTATAATCAAAATTAGACTTTCCGAAAGCATCCCAATCATGTCGGTTTCTCTCGGTATTGGTATGGTTCGTTTAATTTTCGGTATTTTTTCTAAATGTCAGGAAAAACTCACTAGTGGAAGTAGAATGCAATAACATACATACTTTTACAGAATTTCGCAAATATCTCTAGATAATTTTACTGTTTAAAGGGTGATGAATTAAGAAACCATAAAAAATGGCCAGAGTATTAGATCCATCAACTATTCTACAACAGCATAAAAGAAACTAAGGTAAGATAAAGAAAATATAAATCATGTTGGGACCAAACACACACACAAGTATATGTGGTCGTCAAGTAATAAAGTGACTCGAAAGTCGGATGTCGAACCCATAGAGACATATATTGATCGTTAATTAAGCAAACTAAAATCAATCAATTGTCCAAGATAACCAAGAGTGATGTTTTTCTGTTAATCTACTATTGCGAAAATTAAACAAGTAACAACTAATTTGACAAGAATGCAAATGGGTATGATGAGACTTTAATTCAGAGGAGATGCAGATTTCAGGGTTGTGGTTGGTTTAACAACCCTATTAAGTTCAATAATTACACTCGTTAATCCGAATTATCTATGGTTGCTAGTTGACCGGGTCGTTTATATAAATAGCATATTTCCACAATACTATCTGTTTATCCATAATATATCAACCCTATATCCATATGGTATTGAATCTATCATGAACGAATGTAATACGGCATTCAACTAAGCAAAATTGTTAGGTATATTCCTATCCTAACCGCGAAATCTTTTCCTGAGCCACAGATTCAGAAATAAGCTCACTTTAATTCTACTCTAATGTAAACATGGCTTTCCGAAGCATAACATAGATAGTATGGTGAATTGGTAGCTACAACAATTCACAAGTTAAAACTAGAATTAAAGAAACAACCACAAGATGATAATCGGAATTAACAGAGATGTAATTAATAAACGTTAATAATCATGTCAACTACAACCCTAGAAATTAGAGTGCTTAGCCACTCATGTTCCTAGCAACAATTTTCCAAGTATTTTACATAAACAAATTACAAAAAAAAAAAAAGATGAAGGAACGAAGAACTCGATTATTTTCTCCTCCTTAGAATGTTTCAAACATCTTCTCCTTCCGAAATAGTCTCCCAAGGTCTAAGATGTATCAAAAGTCCTCAAAATAGCGTTTTTACATGTATTTATACTAAGTAGGGTCGGGTCCAGACGAAACACCTTTTCCTGCGAGAAATAGGATTCCAGCTCTATAAAATTTGCACAGGTGCGCCGCACAGGGCGGCGCGCCACGTGGTGTGGTAGTGGGGTTTGTCAGAGAGCGTGTAAAATTGATAACAGCAGGATTTGCACAGGCAAGGCGCCCACGTGCCGCCCCACGCGCCGCGCGTGTATTGTTTTCTCAGAGTCCGAATTTTTCTTGACTTTTTGATATCCGGACGTGGTTCTCGACCCCCGAACGCGATCCCGGCTTAATCCCTTGGGCTTTTGCTTAGACTTCAAAGCTCCAAATAGCTCAAATTCATTTCATAACATCTACATAGCTCGGATTCGCTCCTACAAGGCATAAAATACGCAATTAGTGCAAAACACCAGCGATTAAAGCTCAAACTCAATTAAAGTGTAGTAAATTAAAGTGCGATAAGCGACTAAAATACGTAATTATAGACTATCATCAACACCCCACACTTAAAGCATTGCTCGTCCTCGAGCAATCAAACTACACTTTATATAGACATGACCTTTTTAACCAATTCTCCTAACTCATCACACTAAGAATATTTAAAATAGACTAAGTACAAGAGTGTAACATCTTCACCTCAAGATTTGATTCACAAGTACGACACATTATTCACAACTCACTCACTTACTCTAACATAGAGGTCAATGATATTACCTTTCCTTCATGAATCAAGTGCCATCACCCAACAAAAGAGAGTAGTTCCACACACAATAACCTTTAAGAACAATTAGGAACTCAAGATAGACAGAATTCACTCACTCTCAGAAATAACATTCATATGCCACAAAAGATGCACCATAGGCTTGCCTGTAGTGTACTACTCTACTAATATAGCTCATTCTGACTAGGATCAAGTAGAACTTTACTTGGTTGTAATGTAGGATGCAGGACGGGCAGGATACATTTAGATATAATAGTGACTAAACCTCGCTAAACACTTTAATACATACACTTTAACATTTGAAACCCGACACTTATGTCAAACCATAACTCCACCTTAACATCAATATTTATTAACTCCATACTTCTTTAAGCACAATTACATCAAGAGTCACCACTATCGAGGAATATTTGCACAGCAATACAACTATCTAAATTTAATTTTTTTTCTTTTTCTTTTCCAATTCAAGTAGCTCTTACTTTTTTGAAACATTGAACCTTTCTCCTTATTTCGTTAGTTCCACTCAAAAGCCAAACCAACCACCCCATACTCTAACTTTTACAAAGTTCATTACAATTCAAGTGCTCATGAGAGGTGAAAATATTCAAATAGATGGTTAATTCAAATAAATGGATAAGGCTTGTAATGTGGTTGCCAAAGAAACAGGATTACAGGCTTAAAGGGGTTAACTACGATACATAACAATTAGGCGGGTAAAACATATAACTGGTTCAATAAAGAAGCGCCTATATCACTTCCAAGACTGAACAAAACTACTATTTTGCTTTGCAAACACATGAGGTAAGTTCTAGACATCAAATGCTATGCACAGTTAACAAAAAACCTTACACACACATGGCACATAACTTATTCAGAATTGGAATCATCAAGACACTCTAGTCCAGCAGTTAAGAAAAGTTAAGATCATACAATTTAAGGTACTTATACAAGAGTCAAAAATTGAGCCTAAGCGTCACAACCAAAGTACACACTATTCTCAAGGCATAACAAAATTAAGAGATATTGCTTCAATTCAAATCATAGCACAATGGCTCCTGCTCCTAAAAAAACTAACTACACCCGTTTCAAACAATACCCTTGGAAAAGAATCGCAGCACAAAGAAAAACCAAGGGGAAATTATTACACTACCTAACAAAAGAAAATCTTGTTTTCTTTTTTCCTTTCGACTTAAATCCCTCAAAAAACCTGTTGAATGAGATCCATCGTCGGAAAAAGTCCAATTTTTCTGCACGTATTTTTTTTAGGAGCTATACTACACATATACGAAAATAAAAATAAAAATTAATATTTTTCTTACACACTACTACTAATTATCTAGAGAAATTCTCCCAACCCACACTTAAAGGAGTGCAGTGTCCCCAATGCACAAATAAAGCAAAATAATAATGAGGATGGACAAGAAACTCCCTGGAAGGCCAAAGGCCGAAGCAATAGCGGCTCACGAGGTACTCAGACTTCCCCCAGGCATGGTCTTTTGCGCGCGCACCCCACACTTAGCTCCAACCATCTAGCTCACTTTTGTACACTTCCTATAGCTTTGCTTCCTATTCTCAAAATCCTACAAAATAAAACCACACAACAAAAATAATACAATAAGAAGAAAAATCAAAACTAAAAGAAAGCAGTAAAGCTGGGTTGCCTCCCAACAAGCGCCTGATTTAACGTCGCGGCACGACGCAGAATCTTGTCTAATCATTGGCGAGTAACACCTTTGACTTCTGACGATCAAAGTCACCTCCATAATAATGCTTTACTCTTTGTGTGTTCACTAAGAACGTTCTCTCGCCACCTAAAATGCACAACTCAATTGCACCATGTGGAGTGACTCTCACTACCTCAAACGGGGCCTACCATCTCGATTTGAGCTTCCCAGGAAAGAGTCTCAACCTCGAATTGAACAAAAGAACGAATTGGCCCGGTTCGAACTCGTGATGATGGATATGATTATCATGCCAGCGCTTGGTCTTTTCTTTATATAACTTGGCATTCTCATACGCGTGCAAGCAAAACTCATCAAGCTCGTTCAATTGCATCAACCGTTTTCCACCCGCTAAATCTGCATCAAAGTTCAGCTTTTTTATCGCCCAATAGGCCTTGTGCTCAAGTTCTACCGGTAAAATGGCATGTCTTCCCATAAACCAGCTTGTAAGGGGAGGTTCAGATTAGAGTTTTGTAGGCGGTCCGGTATGCCCATAGAGAATCATCAAGCTTTGCAGCTAAATCTTTCCTACTTGCACTAACCGTCTTCTCCAGAATCTGCTTTATCTCTCTATTTGACACTTCAACTTGTCCACTAGTCCGAGGATGGTAAGCGGTTGTAACCTTATGTCTGACCCTGTATTTTTCTTAGACATTATCCAATAGCTTATTACAGAAATAGGTACCCCCATCACTTATCATCACTCTCGGGGTGTCGAACCTTGTAAAGATATGCTTTTTCACAAATTTGACCACCACCTTGGCATCATTGGTAGGAAGAGCAATGGCCTCCACCCACTTCGGCACATAGTCATCGGCCACCAAAATGTACTTACACCCACTGGACGAGGGAAACGGACCCATAAAATTAATTTCCCACATATCAAAGATTTCAACCTCCATAATACCATGCAATGGCATCTCATGCCTTTCGTATTTGTTCCTGTTCTCTGGCATTTATCACACCTCCTTACAAACTCATGGGCATCTTTGAACAAGCTAGGCCAATAGAAACCTGATTGCAAAACCTTTGCTGCCGTTTTGTCACCCGCATGATGACCACCATAAGGCGATGCATGACAGTCATGTAAGATAGCATTTATTTTAGATTCGGGAACACATCTTCTCATTAATTGATTAATACAAGATTTGAACAGAAATGGCTCATCCCGCACATATGACCTCACATCTCGCAAGAACTTCTTTTTAACATGAGGTTCAAGATCAGGCGGCATTTCTCCACTTGCTAGATAGTTTACAAAATATGCATACCATGGCACCTCCCTAGTAGTAACGGCCAACAATTGCTCATCTGGGAAGGTTTCCTTGATGACATCTACCTCAACTACATGATTTCGAGTTTCTAACCTGGACAAGTGATCAGCCACTTGATTCTCTGTTCCTTTACGGTCTCAGATCTCCAAGTCAAATTCCTGCAAGAGTAAAACCCAACGAATTAGCCTTGGTTTAGCATCTTTCTTTTCAAACAAATACCTGATGGCTGCATGGTCTGTGTAGACGATGACTTTGCTGCCAACCAAATAGGCCCAATATTTATCGAACGCCCACACTACAGCAATCAACTCCTTTTATGTCACAGTATAATTTATTTGAGCAGGAGTGAGAGTCTTGCTTGCGTAGTAAATGGAGTGAAATATTTTGCTCCTCCTTTGGCCTAATACGGCCCCAATTGCACCATCACTAGCGCCGCACATCTGCTCAAATGGTTTGTTCCAGTCAGGAGCCACTATGGTTAGTGCACTCACTAACTTCTTTTTCAGCTCCTCGAATGCTTTCAGACAAGCATCGTCAAACTTGAACGGCAAATCCTTCTCTAACACCATGCATAAAGGAGAGGAAATTTTTGAGAAATCCTTTATAAATCAACGATAAAAACCTGCATGTCTCAGAAAACTCCTAAATCCTTTCACTGAGATTGGTGGTGGAAACTTTTCATTTGCTTCCACCTTAGCTTTGTCAACTTCCAGTCCTTCTTTGGACACCTTGTGCCCCAGCATATACCTTCACGTGCCATAAATGGCATTTTTCCCAATTCAGTACCAGATTTGTCTCCTCACACCTAGCAAGAACTTTAGGAAGATTGATTAAGAATTCATCAAAAAAAGAACCAAACACAAAAAAAATCATCCATAAAGACCTCCACAAACCGTTTCACCATATTGGTGAAAATAACCATCATACACCTTTGAAAAGTCGCAGGTGCGTTACACAACCCGAATGGCATTCTCTTAAAGGCATAAATTCCATAAGGGCATGTAAAAGTGGTCTTTTCTTGATCTTCAGGGGCAATAGCAATCTGATTATACCCTAAATAGCCGTCAAGGAAACAATAGTATTCCTGTCCGGCTAACGTGTCAAGCATTTGATCAATGAATAGGAAAGGGAAGTGATCTTTTCGTGTAGCATTAGTCAACTTCCCATAATCCATGCATATTCGCCAACCGGTCACAGTCCTAGTTGGGATTAATTCATTTTGTTTCATTCACTACAACAGTCATACCCCTCCCCCCTTTTGTACACATTGAACAGGGGTTACCCACTTACTGTCAGAGATAGGAAATACTATACCTGCGTCGAGCCACTTAATCACTTCTTTTCTTACCGACTCTTTCATGATTGGATTTAGGCGGTGTTGATGTTCCATGCTAGGCTTGTGTCCCTTTTCCATGAGTATTTTGTGCATGCAGAAGCAGGTCTAATACCCTTTATGTCAGACATTGTCTAACCAATGGCATGCTTGTGCTCCCTCAGCACCCTTAAGAGCTTTTCTTCCAGCAATTTAGACAAATGAGAAGAAACAATCATAGGTAAAGTGTTAGAACTTCCCAAATATGCATAATGAAGCTCAAACTGGGATCCTTCCCTTATCTATTCACAAGATGCATCAAGAATTTGCAACATCTACTCAACCTCTTCTTCAAGTTCCACATGATTGAACAACATCAATGCCTTTTCTAGTGCATCTTCTTTAAATACACTTGGCTTTATGGTTCATTTATCTCCACCACAGAAATCATGGCCAGGTCCTCACAATGACGAGGCAACTGAATAGATCGACATACATTGCAGTCTGCTTCTTCATTGTCCACCCTCAAGATCATCTCACCTTCTTGGACTTTGATAATTGCATCTCCAGTGGCCAAAAGAGGTCGTCCTAAGATGATATGAACTAACTCATCATCCTCATAGTCAAGGATGATAAGATCTACAAGGAAAATAAACTTCCCAATCTGCAACAAGACGTCCTGAATTACCCCCTCAAGATAACCATAAGATCTATCAGCTAACTGTAGCATCACCGTGGTGGGTCTCGAAGATCCTAAGCCTAATTGTTTGAACACTGACAACGGCATCAGATTGAAACTTGCACCCAAATCACACAAGGCTCTACCCACATCAATTTCATCAATCCTCACGAGGATGGTAAAACTACTCGGATCCTTAAGCTTTTGTGGAAGCTTATGTTGAAACCTGGAAGTGCACTCCTTAGTAAGTGCGACGGTCTCAAACTCAGTTAACCTCCTCTTATTTTCCACTATATCCTTAATATATTTTGCATCTTTTGGTACCTCTCGGAGCATGTCCACCAAAGGGATGTTCAAGTGCATCTAATTTAGCATATCTACAAATTTGTGAAACAAGTGGTCATCATTATCCTTTCTCAATATTTGAGCGAAAGGGGGCGGCACCCTCTCTGATATATACTCAGACTCTGTTTTGTTTCTCTCATCTACCTCTACAGGTTTTGGCACTTTTTGTTCTTCAAGCCCAGACTGCTCATTTTTCTTCTTAGACACTTTTACCAACCCTTTCCCATTTCTCAACGTCACTACATTGACTTGAGGATTTTTCTCTGTATCACTTGCGAGAGCTCTAGCACGTCTAGTATTCTGATTGTTAGCCATTTTCCCAAACCGCCTCTCTAGATTTCTGAACTCTGTGCGCAATTGTTGATTATCAGCCTAGCTTGTTGATTCTCAGTTATAACCTTCAGATTTTCTATCAAGAGCTTTTTCATCATGTCAGTCAAACTCTCTTCTGCTTGCTGTGGAGGTTTAGGTGGTTGATTGTAATTAGCTTGAGGTCTGATATTCTGATTTCCACCCCAAAGAGGTTATGATGATTCCTCCAGTTCGGATTGTATGTGTTACCATATTGAGCATTTTGATTCGTCGGCCCTCTAGCTTATTGCCCCACAAAGTAGATGGATTCAGGATTCACGGGGCATATGTCAATCGTGTACCTTCACCACATAACTCGCAGTAAGTAGACATCTGTTGCACATGCTGCATCTGTTGTGCTTAGTGCATTGTCATTTTATTCATCTGGTTTGCTAATCTCGCTATATCTGCCCTCATGGCTGAGAGATCATCAAGCTTAATTACACTTGTTGCCTTTTGTTTAAGTGCTCTTCGTCGTTCCCCATCTCTTTGCAAATTATTATCATTAGCAGTAAAATTGTTTAGCAGGATCTGGAACTCACTATACGGTCTTGCCATGCAACTTACCCCACATACTGAGTCAAGATTTATCTTTGATGCCTCGTCCAACCCATCAACGAAAGTGTGATCCAACACCTCATCAGTTTGACAATGATGTGGGCAGTCTCTGAGTAGCTTCTTGTATCTTTCCCAAGATTGTCGAAGTGTCTCGCCATCTCGTTGTTGAAAACTAAGAATCTGACTCCTAGGGACTTTGTCTTTTTAGTGGGAAAAAACTTGATTAAGAATTTCCTTGCTAGATCATCCCAATTATGCATTGAGTTCGCGAGTTCCTTTTGCAACCATTCCTTAGCTTCCCAGCAATGAAAAGGGAAACAATGTCAGCCTGACATAGTCCTTGGAAACGTTCGGATAATTGTAAGTGTCTGTAATTTCTAGGAAGTTCTGAATGTGCCTCTGCGTATCTTCATGAGATAGACCCACGTACTGCCCTATGGACTGAATCAGCTGTACCATGTACTGTTTGAGTTCAAAGTGACCCGTGATATCAGGCTACACAATAGCCTGAGTCAAATTATCAAGATTGGGCCTTGCAGCTTCTATCACCGGACGCTCTTCATTACCTGCCATCTCTATTGGCTGTGGTTGAACAACGATGTCCAACTCTCTTTCGATTCTAGTTCTAGCTTCGACTTCCCTCCCCAATCTGTGAAGTGTTCATTTGATTTCAGGATCAAGGGGAAGGAGATTGTTTGCACTGCTACTCCTCCGCATTCAAGAGAAGAGCCCGCGTTATCACAAATAAAGCAAACTAAAAATTAAAACTTGAACGAATAATGAATAAAAACTTAAAAATAAACAATCAATAAATAAGTCCCCGCCAAGGGCACCAAAAACTTATTGGGACCAAACACGCACGCAAGTATACGTGGTTGTTAAGTAATAAAGTGACTCGAAAGTCGGATGTCGAACCCACAGAGACTTAGATTAATCGTTAACTAAGCAAACTAAAATCAATTAATTGTCCAATATAATCAAGAGTGATGTTTTTCTATTAATCTACTATTGCGAAAATTAAACAAGTAACAACTAATTTGACAAGAATGCGAATGGATATGATGAGACTTTAATTTAGAGGAGATGCAAATTCTAGGGTTGTGGTTGGTTTAACAATCCTATTAAGTTCAATAATCACACTCGTTAATCCGAATTATCTATGGTTGCTAGTTGACCGGATCATTTATATAAATAGCATGTTCCCACAATACTATCCGTCTATCCATAATATATCAACCCTATATTCCTATGATATTGAATCTATCATGAACGAATATAATACGTCATTCAACTAAGCAAGATTGTTAGGTATATTCCTATGCTAACCGCGAAATCTTTTCCCGAGCCACGGGTTCAAAAACAAGCTCTCTTTAATTCTACTCTAATCTAAACATGGATTTCCCAAGCATCGCAAAGATAGTAGGGTGAATTGGTAGCTACAACAATTCACAAGTTTCTACTAGAATTAAAGAAACAACCACAAGATGATAATCCAAATTTAGTTTCAATAGGAGTAGCATAATAGTTTTGGGAATTAGGATTTTGAGTTTAATTACTCGCTGGCTTTTAACCACTTTTATAATTCCAATGCCAAAAAAAATTAATGCTTTATTATTTTTAAACTTAATATATAAATATATTTTCTACATGTAAATTTATTCGGTACGGTTCGGTATTTTTTTGGTTTATTTTCAGAAAATAAAAAATCTACCCTAATTATTAGTACGATTATAAATTTTGTAAAACTCTACAATTTTATTAAAAGAAACCTAAAAATCGGTTCGATACGGTATAATTCGATCAGTATGGTCGATTTTTAAATATTCATTGACACCCCTACGGTCTTACCATCCAAATTAAATATCTCTTTGGCCTCGTAGTAATGACGGCCATCTATCTATTGTATTGGGGAAAATTATATTTATATATAAAGGTGACGTGTCAAGACACGTGGATTAGTCAAATGGTCAAAGAATCGCAATTAGCCACGAGTCAGGAGTTACAACATATACGAGCAAAGAAAGAGGAAGAGGCACGGGACATCAGACAAGTAACACGGCGCCCGTACCTATTTAAGTCATTTATATCCGAGAATCAGAAGGAATGAATCTGACAATAGAAAAGAGTGCAGATACGGCATTTAATGAGCATTAAATGCTGAATACGTTAGAGAATATATTTTGAATGTAATGATTGTGTAACGTAGCATTCAATGTCTTAATTACTCATAATAGCCTCATTATGATTTGAGCAAAACGTATATTCTCAAAGGTACCTATAAAAAGGAGATATATGATCAGTTGTAAGGACATGAAAGACTATTGAAATAGACATTGATTTATTTGTTTCTCTTGATTACCATCTTGCTATCCAGAATTACTTCTTTTTATTCATTTTCTTGATTATCAGTAACCCGAGTTCTTCTAAATTTTAGCTTTGACTAAAAATCCATTTTTTGGTTAAACAAATTGGTTCCGTTACCGGGAATCTGATAATCTATTTNGAGCCAAGGCTAAAGAAAACCTTATTGTAGTTAGGGTAAAAGCTATGTACTAAAACGGGTTATACAGAAAAACCTCGTGTTTATTATTTTTTCCTAAAAATCTGTTACAAGAAAAACAGTTACGAGAAAGTTATAGATGTACTTTAAATACATGTAAAGTATTATTCAAAAGCTTGTCAAGGTTCAAAAATAAAAACTTGTCAAAGTTATTACAAAGAAACATGTGTGTTCCTATTTCTTTTATCGTATGATAACACCATCATGAAGTTGAGACTTCTTCTTCATTAAGTTTTGAAATATAAAAGGGCCCTCTTTTATAAAACTCATGTTTAAATTATTTAGTCATGAGATTAACAAAAGCATTTTCAAAAAACAAAAATGCAAATCATTCTATAAGTCCTTAAGAGTAAAGGCAGGAATAGAATAAACAGAAGTCTAAGGTAATAACACAAAAAACTTCTTAAATACTTAAGACTAAGTACGAACTTAGTCATAAAACTATGAAATTGTTTATACAAACTGCCCCATAAAGTTGGGGACTTGCGTTCCAAAAACCAACCCTCAAATGAAGCTAAGGGTTTGATTACAATTTTTCTAAAATAAACCCTCAAATGAAGCCAAGGGTTTCTAGCACAACTTTCCAAAGTGGTACCTGCAAAAAAAAAGGAATTCAAGATAAATATTTCTAAGAAGATGTGGGAACTGAAGTTGAGCAAGAGCATCGGCAGATATGGTTTCAACTTGGCTTGTGGCAGTAGGTTCGATTGGGATTGAAGAAGATGTGATACCCGTATGAGCTTCAACCACGGGAGCTTCAATCACGGGAGAAGGAAAGTCCTTTGTTTGCTGAGCTTGTTCAATGGTCTCATTAACCTTAGCTAATTCTGACTCCAGGTCGAAGTTTTCTTGCCCAGCTTCAATTAGGGTATCACGACGTGAATTCAAAAAAGCCCAACTTATCTCAACATCAAATTTTTCTTCAAGGATCTCATAATCCTTTTCCCAAGCAGCAACTTCATTCTTGAGCTCTTCATTTTCGGCCAAGGCGGAATTACAAGAAGCTTGAAGGGAAGCATGAGAGCTCTCTAAAGCACGTATCTTATCAGCAGAGACTCTAAGGTCTTCTTGTGCTTGGGTTAAGTTTTGCACAAGCTCCTCAGCATAAACTTCTTTTTGATTCAACAGAGCCTTCAACGCCCTGTTCTCCTCGCTAGCCTTAGATAGCTGCTCTGAAAAGGAGGATTCAAGGCGTTCTTTTTCTTTCTCAGCTTGGCTCAAGGAAGCCTTGATCACCGCTTGCTCCGAAGTTAATGCTCGCACTTGCTGTTCCAAGGTACTCCTGCTCTCTTGTAAATCCTCCATGTTAATTTGAGCACTGTCAAACTGTTCCTTCCAATTGTTTGCTTCCAACTGAGAATCACGTGCTACCTTCTCCAAGATGGAGATTCTGTTCATCAGCTCAGTGCCAATAAGATTGGCCTAAGGAAAAAGGAAGGGAAATAAGAATCTTGAGGGTAAAATTTTTTACAAAGTAAAGAAGAGAAAGAAAGAAAATACCTTCAAAGTGGCATGCACTATGTCATTCATTAAAGTCAGGCTGCTATGGCTCTTTAGTTTTGCTTTCTCGATTGGGCCAATTAAAGGCTCGAGCCAAACGTCAGCTTGACCTGACTTTCTCAAGAGGCTACTATCAGCAGGGACTTCAATAGTAACGCTCCTCATAGCAGTACTTCTACTCGAAGAACCCACCTCCGTATGGTGAACGATAGGTGGGGGAATTGTTAAGGGAGGAGTGGTGGAAGGAGTAAAAATAGTAGAGGGAGGAACAGAGACAGTTGAGGCAGGTAAAGAAAGAATCACAGGTGCGGGAGTTGAAAAGGNTCGGAAGCTACGAGGAAACTCA